CCTCGGTAAGAACTGAATGTAATGGAAAAATTGTGAATAATTTTTTCAAAAATTTTCAGACAATTTTGTACGCCATTTAATCTAAAATATCTGAAAGTTTCAAAGAAAAATGTACATAGATGCCGGCAAAAATACACGTTTTTTCAAGGGAAATTTGGTAACTCTTAAATGTTTATACGGCTTTCTTCCTTAGCCATAGAGATTCCTTTAGTCATAAATTTGTGTTTTGATGCTTGATTCTTGTAGATCAGCTGAAAATAATAAGCTCTCTAAGATAAGATCGTCTCTCTGCGTTTAATATTGACCGAGGTATCACGCATTGAAAACTTCGATTTATGACGTCACCACCGGGATAGTGACACCCTTGGTTTCTATCATCACCTTAAAAATCTTATAAACGAATTTTAACAATGTTGCTCGCCTATCAATTGATAATCAAATACTTTTGAATACCGTGAGACTGTAAGCTGCTTCGTAGCCGAAGGGTGGTTCCTAACTTCCACTACGTCAATGCTCATCCCAATCGTACAAAAATTCTTTAAAACTCATTATTCTCAGTAACGATGGGTTTGAAATTTCCAAGTTCCAGATGTCACAATCTAGCGATTTACCGTGCGGTAGGTTTGTCAATCCATTATCGACCGCCTGCCTAACGGCCGGCGACTAATAAGGCACGTTCCCGCACAAGTCGAAAAGCCACAAATCGAATTCCTCAAACGTCCAGCCATCTTGATTATCATGTCAATCAGTACAAGAGCATTTGGGAGCATTACACGAAAACAAGGCATTAAAGAACAATGACAAATCTCTTTACGTTTAACCCCCAACGATTAGAACCTAATCGCGGTTGAAAGGCCGACTAATAAAATCGAAAACAATGAGAAGCGTGCCCGAAAACAAAAGCCACGGTTGAGTCATCGGGAAGTAAGATGACCCCCAGCTCAGGAATTTCGAACCGTCCGAAGGGTTGAGCTTCGAGAGGGAAATGTGTTGAAATAAAATACATCACTGCCGTGTTAAGGAAGAACGCCGTATGAGCGTTCGAATATTGCCAAATTACCCCGATATGATCTTTGTTTTAAAGGATAAAGAGAGAAATTCTTGTTCGCTCTCTTCCTTCTTTAATTTCGTTTTCTTTTTATTTAACATTTATTCACAGTCCTTAACTATCGCACGAAAATCTACTTAAAAGACTCTCAATGTAGTAAAAAATGGTTTCTTTTTACAATATCAAATTTTCAGTAAAATTTTCTGAAAAATTCGAATGTGAAAAAAGCACAACCTTTCCGAAAATTGCTTGTTATACCTTAAGCAATTTGGCAACTTCTGGATATTCATGCGATGTTTCGATGCTAGACTCCGGCATTAAAACTATTTTTCTGGGGGTATTGGGCGACGCGCGGCGTCCGTGGCGAAGGGTTGTCCCGGCGCACAGTTGAGCGAGCTAATAGAGGAGATCGGACATGAATAGTTTGGCTAAAATTTCAAATTTTGATGTTTATTCCGTCACAAATTCAATTTCATGGGGTGTTTCTGGGAGGAAATTCCACAAAAAACCCACAAGCACCACTTATCTCTGTCATACTTTCGAAAATATAAGTTTTCAAAGTTTTCGGATGTATCTGACGTTTTCTATCGACTCAGTCCAGTGTGCGGCGTCGGGTGACGGGTGAGTTATGACTGATTTTCGGGCCAGCCCCACGGGCACACCTGAGTTAACCTTTCAACTCGAGGGGGGGGGGGGGGAGTTGAGGGGTTCTTCCTCTGGAATCCGAGCCCTGTCTGTCAGGATCCAAAGTATCCTTTTAGAAGGAAGGGTCGGGGGAATGAAGTATCCTGTAGCGTCGATTTTATCTGATTTATCTGATTTTCCCGATTCCAAAACGATCAGAAATGTGGTTACTCGGCGAGGTGGGGGAGTGGGGGGGCGTGGGGGCTCCGCCCGCTCGGTCGTGCGGGGGAGGAATTTTAAGGCGCGCGATCCTTTCCGCGAATTGGTGATTTCACTTGGGCACGATTTCGCTTCACTTCCTCCGCCGCTCAATGGATCGAGTCAATTGGAAAGGTCGGACAAAATTTGGAAACTTTAAAAGCTTATAACTCCGTTTATACAAAATTTTAAAGTTCTGAAAGTAGTTCCATTGGTTTTCTCGTGAAGTTCTCTTCTCGAAGCACCCTCTAAAGATTAAAATGTGGCGAAATTAACATCCTAATTTGCAGTTTTAGTCCAAAATTTCATGTCCGACCTCTCTAGGTGACTTGATCTACTGTGTGCCGTAGCACGAGTCTTGCTTGACCAGGGGGCATTTCTGCGAGGAAATTGAGCGGGTAGTGCACCATCATCTACTTGTACCCAGAATCACCTCAGATTTATTCACAGTTTCCTTCGACTCGGAATATTCCGGAATTATTGTTATTTCTTCACGTTCAATGTTGACTGGATCTCGAATTATTTACTTTTATAAATCAACGAAAGCTCGTATTAGCATATAGACATTAATATGTTAACATTAGAAATACAATGAGACTTAATCAACACAAAAAAATGTAGGGGTAAAGCTCCAACTTGGACATATCCAATTAATTGTGGTGGTGCACCAATAAATTCGGGTACTAATCCAAATTAGAGTCCCTTTATACTGAGAGTCAAGACAACATCCCCTCGTGCAGTCACAAACGGGAATAAAGATTACACAAATTGAACGTTTATTGTAATCTTTGATCGGCCCATTCTCAAATTCCTTTCTCCGTCCCTTCTCTCATTCCGTTTGTTCCTTGCCGAACCCGTAATTCCCTGGTCCATTCCAGACTATAATCTTTGCAATCGGTGAAAATGTAATCTTTATTCCCGTTTGTGACACTGCGAAGGCCTAAAATAGGGGAACCAATCAGAAATGGATTCACATTGTCTTGACTCTCAGTATAAAGGGACTCTAGTTGCAACTAGACACGTCTCTACTTCAACATCCGCTCGGGCGAGGCGACAAAAAACTGCGCGGGCACAGAAGAAAAGGAAAGGAAAAAGTTTCGCACCGCATTTTTGGGCCCGGAGCAAAGCGAGGTTCACATACTTTTGTCTGCCGCGAGATGAAGCTGTTTGGGCGGATTAATGAGTAGGGGGCGGGGGGACGGTGGAGGGGCCTACGATTCCGGGGGTAACGAGCACGGGTAATTAAACGGTTAGCATTCGTCGAATTGCATTGTGGGTCAAACGGCCTCGAAAAAAAAATCGGCTCAATTAACTTTCGTCATTGTTTACTCTGTTTTGTCTCGATGTACGCGCGGGTTCCACGGTAATTAAGATGTCCCGAGGAACTTTTCACCATGTGGTGTGGGCTGGCACGAGCCTTGGAGCTTGGAAAGTTTCGTCCGCGGAACGAATTGGACGTATTTTCGCTGAAAGGAACTATGTGAGTAGGGTTCGCGTGAGACATAGTTTCTTTTAGAATAAATACGTCCAACTGTGGGAGCTCTGATGGAGTTAACCGGAATAAGTATTTTTGCTGAAAGGAACTATGTGAGTAGGGTTCGCGTGCGACATAGTTCCTTTTAGAATAAATACGCCCAACTGTGGGAGCTCTGATGGAGTTAACCAGGATAAGTCTGACTGCATTGCACGTTGCCCAATTTTCTCTCGTGTTTTAAATTTTGTACAGCACTGAAAAAAAATTCTCGGCGTTTTTACCAAGGTCCGTTGGTACCTTTACCATCTCACTTTTTTACCAATTATTCGTAATTTTACCAGGACAGACTGGTAAGCTTACCTAAAACCCGGTATTTTTACTGTTTTTTCCAGGTAAGAATACCACTTTTATTGGTGATCGATTCCCGGTAACTTTGCCATTTTATCTGGGTAATTCTACCACAGTCGATAAAAAATATTGGCGTTTTTACCAAGGTCCAGTAAAATTACCGAGAAAGTTCAATAATTTTACCGAGATTTCTCAGTAAAATTACCAATTCCATAAATGGTAATTTTACCAAGAAAAAACTGGGATCGAATAGAACCCTGAATTTTTGGTAATTTTACCCTTTTCTTGGTAAATACACCGAGATTTTTTTTTCAGTGAGGAAAACTAAGTGGAGCAAACAACGTAAAGAATTTCCGTGGATCCGTACTATTGTAACAGTCAAAATTGGATACTTGGTGTGGGTTCTCAATCTTGGCCGGTTTAATGAGAAAAGATGCCTTTCTTAACTTAGGATCGAGATGTAGTTACTTCGAGTGTCAGGAAGTGTTTTTTTGACATTTTGGGACAAATAGCGACCAAAACTGTCGATGGAGCGAAATACTTGATACAATTATTTCGACTTCCGAGTGGGTAAAATTGCATACTCAAAAAATGAAGGGGAACTTGGTATCATTCCAGCTATCTAAGAGACTTTAACACTGGGTAGAAAAGTTGGATGGGGCGAAACGTGCGATACAACTATTTTGACTTCCGAGTGGGTAATATTGCATACTCAAAAAATGAAGGAGAACTTGGTCTCATTTCCGCTATCTAAGAGACTTTAACGCCGGGTAGAAAAGTTGGATGGGGCGAAACGTGTGATACAACTATTTCGACTTCCAAGTGGGTAAAATTTCATATCCACAAAATGAAGGAAAATTGTTCTCTTCTGCTGCCTCAGAGACTTTAATGCTGAGTTTGATGGGGTGAAAAACAAATAAAAAACAAGAGGAAATTGAACAACGTGTAATGTTAATAAGTTGATTATGGTTGACCCTCTACGGCATGAATTTATTTTGGATCTTGGATCTCGGTGGGCACTAATCTGTTTTGTAGCTTTCGTAAAAACTTTCTCTCAAATTTGGTAGTAATTTTTTTAAAAACGGAAATCCACATTAAATTAGCAACATCATGGCACGGAGGAGTAATTTAATGTTGAAAAAACAAAAACTGCGTTGTTACGAATAAGTAAAACCATGACAAATACGGTTTATGCAGTTCGATGCCCGTTTTCATTCCAATTTTTTTGAGGAGAAAATGTTGGCTTACCTGAGTAAATGGGAGGGGCTCAGAGGTGGCGCCGCAGGACCCGCACACGCTCTGTTCGACGAGGGTCATGGCGAACTTGCGGTGCGGGATGCAGTGAAGAGCGCGGCACATGTCTTCGGACTCGTTGCACGCCAAATGGTAGTGGATTCGCAGCAACATGTTCTCCTGGAAATGGAAGAAAATTCGGAGTCGGTTATGACAATTATTGACGGAAATTCGATGCTTCAAATGGGGGAGACTAGCTCAGAAGTTTCAGGTCTTCGAGGCTTTAAATGAAAGACTAATGGGTTGAATGTTGTAAAAAGTAAATAGCGTTGAAAGGGTTCTTCACATCACGGCGTTGATGAGATAACTATTTTAACTCCTAAGTAGTGCAAATTGCATACACATCATTTTGAAGGAGACTCGTTCACGAAGAAATTCAACAGAAGCAAATTCGGGGTCAGTTGTGACGATCCGCGCAGAAATTCGATGCTTCCAATGGGGAAGACTAGCTGAAAATTTCCAGCCCTTTGAGGCATTAAATGAAAACCTGATGGATTGGATGTTGGGAATTTGATTTAAGTAAACAGCGTTAAAATGGTTCTTTACATCACGGCGATGATGAGATAACTATTTCAATTCCTAAGTGATGCAAATTGCATAGGCATCATTTTGAAGGCGACTTGTTCACGAAAAACTTCAACAATCCGGGTCTTTGCATTTTATAGTTCATGGTTTCGCCATCGTCCAAAATATTTGATCGAGTCCTTTTGGTGGTTACTACAAGAAACGGCGACTAAATTCAAATGAAGGTGATGTTTAGATACATTTTCGTAGATTGGACACTTGAAAAATCCCGTAAAATAGTATTAACTTCAAACGTTACGATTTTTACGACAAAAATTCTTAAAGCTGGGATACTTACGAAGCATTCTGCAGCGTCGTCCATGAAGCCGAGCTGAAATCGCTGCTGGTCGAAAAAAGATTCGGCCAGAGCGCGGCGAAGCGCGTCCGGTGGGAGAGCATTTTCATGGCTGGATTGCAGCTGAGAAAACAATTCCTGCAACAAAAAAAAGAGACACATTTAGTATTCAATCATTTATTGCAGAAAGAAGTTCCACACAAGACCATCTATCAATTTCAACAATCGGCCTGCTACTGGGCCTGTTGCAAAATTCCTGTTGTATATTGTAGAAAATGGCTCGAAAATAACGATGAGCGCATCTGAAAACGTCTGAGCTCTGAGATACACTCCTAACATCACAATCTGCGTGAGAAATATGCGAATTTCAAAGCTTTCCCCCTTTTAAAACGAAGGCTACCGCTAAGGCTAAGTATTAAGCACTGGGAAAAAAAAACACATCGGATGTAGAGTCCGGACTCTTAAAAACATCCACAAGAAAAAATACTCTTGATTCAATCAGAATGTAGCTTAAATCAAGAACCAAGCCTCTTAATTTGAGCGGATTTCCTTTTGAATTATGCAAAAATCTGATTGGATCAAAAGTATTTTTTCTTGTCAACACTCACAAAAAGGTATGACTCTATGAGACCCATAAAAAATGGCTCGGAGATCCATAATTTCTAATCAAAGTGACTAACCGTCCACAGTATGTCTTTCTGAGCCATACTTAACTGGTCGTGAACCTGTAAGCATGGCTCCACGAACTATATTGTATGGCTCCATGATCAATAACTCGGCCGGTAAGTCACTCTTCCCATACTTGTTTTTTGAGTGAATGTTTTCAAGAGTCTGGACTCTAGATCCAATGTGCTTTTTTTTTCCAGTGAGCTATCTGCAAAGTCTTCAAGTCTTTACAAAGTCTTTACATCGTTGTTGTGAGCTAATTTCGCTACCGCCGAATGTAAATATCCGACCGAAATGGCTGGGTTTTACGAGCGGCTCCGGATTGAAAGTGGTTTCTCGTTGGCAGCGGCGCATCTCGCGGAATCCGGAAACCCCGGCGCGGTGGTTGGTCGAGCACCCATGGGAGGCGGTTGCGGCGGCGGAGTAGGCCGTGGGTTGCCCAACCTGTTCGGGGTCCGCCGTCCCCGAGTCAAAACGCCCCGGGGCCCCGCGGCCGGGGCCGCGGTCATGCGGGCCCACCGGTTCGCGGCCACCAAGCGCACAGGTGAACCCACCGCTGCCAACCTTCTAGCCTGCATTTGAGCCGAGTTGAAAATGCTCGTTACGAAAAGTTTTTCTACAAAATACTATATAGAAACTTAATTTAATCAAAAATCGATATTTATGGGACTAGTAATGTATGATCAATTATATTTGAATCAGCATGGAATATACTAAAGCGACTGCAAATAAGAGAGAATTGTCTAAATTTCCCTCTGTATATAAATCGACTTAAATGTCTATATTATGAAATTTTAGAAAGCCATGGATAACACTTTTGATCCCACACGACGCATTGATGGAAACTTCAATGAATCAAAAATCGATATTTCAGGACTAAAGGGTGCATGAGCATTTATATTACTTGAACAATCCTAAAATAAACTAAAACGACTGTGCGGAGAGAATTTCCTAACTTTTCCTTCGTTTGTAAATTGACTCAAATGTTCTTATTACGGACTTTTAGAAAGCCATAGATAACACTTTTGATCCCACGAGAGTGGAGCGAAGATTCCCGAATGCTGATTAAATCTCATTTGAGGTTAAACAAAGCAATTTTCTGTGTTTCCACGGCTGCCTGAGTGAAATTTCTTGATTTTGCTAGGTTTCCCTTTGAATTCAGGAATTTGTCATCATTTATTTGAAGAAAAATGTATATTTTCACAACGTGTTTGCTTGCAGGATCGTACAAGCCCAGAATACAACACGCTGACTAACCGAAAATGCAGTTTTGCGAGCGTAATCAGACAAACAAAAGCATACAGAAGTCGCCTTGCAAAAAATTGGCAGCGTGGCCGGTGCAGTGTGCAGACAGACCCGTGGTCTGTGGAAGCGGGTCGCACCGGGGGCCGAAGAAAGAGGGGGGCAGGGGGGCCGGCCGCAGCCTCCCGACTCTTAATAACGGACCCCGACGTCCACCACGTCCGCGGCCACGACTCCACGAGGCCGCGGATGACGTGAGAAACGTCATATCACAATTAACGCCGTCGTCGATCATCACGTGATGCTCACGGTGGTGCCCCGACCTCCTGGTTTTTTTGTGCGTTTCCTTCCTTTCTATCAACTCTAGTCGGTCCGACTCGAGTCTTCAAAATTTGCCAGACGATAATCGGAATTGATAGACAAAGCAATAGACATACGTGGCAAATGAAAAAAACGGAATGATCCTATTGGCGGAGGCAGGTGATTGTGATGGACACTGGACAAATGAGGTCTCGGGTTTTTAAAATCTACCAGAAGATAATCGGAATTGATAGACAAAGCAATAGACATGCATGGCAAATGAAAAAACGGAATGATCCTATTGGCCGAGGCAGGCGATTGCGATGGACACTGGACAAATGAGGTCTCGGGTTTTTAAAATCTACCAGAAGATAATCGGAATTGATAGACAAAGCAATAGACAAAGATGACGAATGAAAAAACGGAGCTATCTTAATGGCGGAGGCAGGCGATTGCAATGGTCAGAGGAGGTCTAAGTAAAAAAGCCGAATGAGCATTCAAATGTTGTCAAATTGCATCTCATGAAATATTTATTTTTGAAGAAAGTCATAAATATTTCCCCTTAAATTTTCAGATACTTTAGGTCTAGTTACGAACGAAATAATGTGAAAAATTAGAGGAGAAACATTCACACATTTTCCTGAAAATTCGAGCTGTCAAAGAAAATTTGGCAATATCTAATGGTTCACACGGTGTTCTTCCTTAGCGCGGTAAAGAGGAAGACTGATTGACGGCAACCCGAGAGAGACCGCATTGACATCCTCATGTAGTGTTCATTTGACAAACTCATGTTCTAGGTGGTCGTTCGTAGGAACTCAAGAGAGGTGGCGTGGCGTGCTTCGCGATAAATCGATTGATCTGCCATTTAAACTTACGGAAAATGACCGATAATAAGGGTGAGCGCATCGAACACCTTAATAGGACGTATTTATGCGAAAAGGAGATATGTGGAAGTGGAAAGATGGGGTGTGCTCGTTAGTGGTCGGGCCATAAGAATGAATGGGGAATATTGTGCGCCAGTGACGTCAGCGGCAGTGAGTGCGCACTCTAACGGCGGGGAGATGGTCGTCGGGGCGCTGTAACTCGTGAGCCCTGTCCACAACGCTCTCTTCCCATGCCCGCGGCTCATGAGTTAGCATATTTTGCCGCTTAGCTCCTTTTGATTTAATGTCAAATCCCGCTTTTCAATTTTCTCAAAAGGAGCTATATCCACTTTTACATTGTTTCTTATGACCCAACTAACGAGCACACCCCATCTTTCCACTTGCACATATCTCCTTTTAGCATAAATACGTCCAATAATCGATTCTATCCATAGCTTCAAAAGGGAAAATATCGATAATCGATCGAAGGCTTTGCCGCACCGAATAAACGTCCGATCAAAAAATACGCGGGGCCGAGCCGAATGAAGATATAGGCGAATAAAACCGACCAAGAATGAGCAATTAAAAAAACGTGGCGTCAGGATTAAGAGCTTAGTTTCGAGAGCCTCTATAGCTCTGAGTTGAGTATTGATGCCAAACTGACGAGACCTAATTTGAAAAAAATTGAATGCAATTGATTGACAGGACGATAAGAGCAGAAAAAGATGTCCGGATAAGCCAATCACGTCAAAGCAATGGTGGGAACCAGCGGATACCGACTGAAAACTGGCACGATCCTAAGGTGAAGATTGCGACTGCATGATGGACGAGCATAAAGAGTAAAATGTGATTTAAAGTGGTGTTGCTTGATAGTCCCTTGAACTCGATTTATTTGCAAGCATAAATAAGTACTATTTTTGGACCTTTAAAGACCGAGGTAGGGTTTAGATACAAATAAAGACCCTTCGCCAAAGCTCCGGCAATCGTAAAAATTATTATTTTCGACAATTCAATTTTTTTTTTTTTACGGGCGCCTGCAGATCACAAAAATACGGTTTTCTTATAATTTTTCGCAAGAATTTAAGGCTCCATGAAGTCGAAAAAGTTAATTTGTGCATAAACTTGAAAGAATACAAAGGCGAAAAGTCACTCCACGATAATTAAGATTGAGCACAATTTGATACCTATGAAAACGGGGAAGGGAGGGGGAGAAGAAGAAAAAAAAAGAAAAAATATTCCAAAAATGTCGAAACCAAATAATCTGTTCGATGTCATAGACTGAGCAAAAACAGAATAACTCCAATAGAGGCCTGATGTTATTTCGCTTTTTTAGCGAGCAGACCACGCGCAGCAATCGGAACGGGATTATCGTGACTCGCGTGAGGTATCCTCCCGGTTTTGCAGGCGCGCCACGGCGTTTTTTCTAACCCGGCGTTCAAGTCACTTTTGATGGTCGGCGCACGACTCGATATCAGCTCGATGAACTCGCGGAAAAAATATAAATAATAGATGTGTCGGTTCAATAACATCTCTTTTAATTGCCGACAGTCAATTAAAGTGGTTTAATGCTTTTTCTTCGCAGTTTCTGCCGCGAATTGAGCCGCGAACTCCGTATATTGCGGAAAAAATGATGGTGCTCGTAGAACGTGAGAATTTCACACAGTTAGACGGTTTACAACCGTCCGGAATGATCTACAAAGTCTTTTAAAATTATCTTTCGAGGTTTTTTTTTCGACCGAAAAGACCGGGTGAAAAATACTCACTGGCGATTTCTGGTGAGAGCATCGAGTAGTTATCGTGGAAGAAGATATCAAGAGAAGGAAATATTATGCTATGCCAGGAAACATAGTATTGCTCAGTTAAGAAATGAGTACATAAAACTGATACAGCTAATGCGTGCAGATCTAACTTAAAGCCAGTTTTTTTTAGTTAAAGTAACGTTGTTTTGCTATCGCATTTTCACCTGAAACATAACGATGACGAAACGACGCTTTTTCAACTAAAAAGCTGATGTTGCATTAAATAAGAACGGATTTAACTTAAAAAAAAATTGTCGAAAAGAAAGAC